TCCTACCACTGCTTCTCTCCAGGACAGGACTGTGGAAGGGCAGTGTTGGGATGACTGAGGGTCCAGGATAGGGTGATAACACTGGGCTCTGGGGTACACATGGTGGAGTGTGATCAGCTCTGTGGCCTTGGGGGAGTCAATGGATCATTCTGATCACATTCTTGGCTGGTCCTACCCCTGGCCAGGTAGGACCTGCATTGTTGCTCTGGAGCTGAACCCCTGTATTCCCAAAGTCCCCCAGCCTGAGGTCTGCCTGGAATCTGCTACCCAAAGGCCCAGGAGTGGGAAGGAAGTGAGGTAATCTCTCCTCCTGGTCCTGGAAATAGGCCCACCCACTTCAACCAGGATTCAAGAGCAGCTGGATGGCTTCTGGAGCAAGTGTGACGGACAGGATGAAAGGCACAGCACTGGAGACAAAGTGTTCCCAGATACTCACTCGTCGTACTCCTCCACCACCTCCTCCACGTCAGACATGGTCTCTGTTCTCCCTCCAGAAAGAGAAAAACGTCAGTGAAAGCAGAAAGGGAAACCTGCCTTCCTCAGAAGTGTTCTGGCCCCCAGCTATAGAAGACTCAGAGAGGCCTGGGAATGAATCTCATACCAACCATTATCATCTGTGTGACCTGCAACAAAAAGCCTGTTTCCTCCTCTGCAAAGGGGCATTCATGCCACTCCCATCAGTGCAAGGCAGCGGCTGGTGTCCATTCCATTCCCTGCCCCTGAGCAGACAATGCTATACCAGATTCTATGTTGCATGTCTAACTCTCAAAGCAAGGTGGTAAAGTTTCTCCACCTTTCCAACCCACAGGAACATTTAAAGCAAAGACAAGCCCTGCCTCTGTCCTCACTGATGTGTTCTTCCCTGCACAGAGCCCCCTGGGAGACTGGTGACACCAACTGTGACCTGTCCATATCATGGAATTCTACTCAGTGATTAAAAAGGATAAACCATGGTATACATGACAACTGGATGAATCTCCAGGAAATTCTGCTGATTGGGAAGGCCAACAGGTCATACACTGAATGATGTCATTTCTTAAAGAGATGACATTTAAGTATGATAAACATACTTAAAATGGCAAGATTATGGAAGTGGAGAGGAGGTTAGTGCCATCGGGGTTGTGCGGAGGGAGGACGAGAGGTGGCTATGGTAATAAAATGATATGCGAGGGACCCTTGTGGATTTGCAACTGTTCAGTGTGCCTGAATGAATAGATGCATGAACCTTCCCAGGTAAAAACTGTATAGAATTTAAAAGCTGCAGGTGTAGCTCAAATGGTAGAGTACTTGCCTATAAAGTGCCAGACCCTGGGTTCAATTCCCAGTACCCCTCCCCCCCCAAAAAAAACTGGTAAGAATTTAACACACATACACAATACAAAACAATCAGAATATCATAGATCAATTATATCAATGTCCACTTCCTGGTTTGCAAATATTTCCATTGGAGGAACTTGGACAAAAGGTACAAGAAACTTCTCTGTATTGTTTCTTACAATGCATATTAATCTTTGTTATCTCAATAAAAATTCCAATTAAAAATAGCTTCTCTGGGAAGTCCCTTCATTATGCTAGGAACAGATCTGGATTCAGATCCTTTTCCATCAGTTTTCTGAGGGTTTGGGGCAAGACTTTGTACCATCTAAACTTCTGTTCTCTCTGCACTATGGAGATGAAGTGTACACATCCTGTGGTCAGGATATTAATGAAAGTGGAAGGTATCAGGTAAAGCTAGATGGTCTGTGCAAGTGTAATTACCAGGAGAAGTCACAGGAGAGGTGGAAAGAGCAAGTGAGACTAATCTGGTGAGACTAGTCTGGTTTTGAATGCTGGCTCCTTCCTGTCCTTGTAGGTGACCTTGGGAAGGTCATTTCACTTCCCTAACCCTGGCTTCCCTTAGCACAAAAGTGCTTCTCTTGTGGGGTAGATAAAATTTTAGAGCTGGTGTTAAGTGTCTGGCCCAGAGTAGGCGCTCAACTGATAATGATTATAACCCAGCCCTACTGAACCAGAACAATGCACAGCTGGGGACACCATCCCATTGATTGAAATGTAAACACACCCCTTGCTGTTTGCAAGGTGATGGCCCTGCAACCTTTTTTGATCATCTGATTGCAAGGCAGAGAAATGCAAGGTGATGAGAGAGAGTGAAGCTGAAGTAAGGTGGGCATATAATCAGAATGATGGATGGGACCATCCTCTAATCTTTCTCCTATGTCCTGCCTCCCCTACACTGGGCCTTCCAGGATGAGAACAACGGGACATGATTGGTCCTGCTCCATCCTCTACTTCTCCCTGTATGTCCCAAGGTTGTGGCTGAGACCAACCCTAGGCCCCCATCTGTGGACATCCATGAGATCCAGATGGATTGAAGTGATGTCCACCATGAGGCAGCCCTTTTGAGGTTGAGGGGTTCCAAGGGAGCCCCCTCTATTCTGGATAGAGATTGCCTCAGACTCAGGACTCTCTTCAGCTTAGATGGATTCAGTTCTGCTGGGGTAAGGACAAGCATGGCTGCAACCAGATAAATCCTCTGTCGCTCTCAGGAGCATGACAGATGGTAAGGGAGGACCCCAGTTCCCATGGAGCTCTGGACAGCAGCCCTGAGCCACTTGTTATTCCCCCATACCCCACCATCTTTTAGGGTAATGGAGAAGAGAGATCAAATATTTCAAGTGTCCTAACAGTGGATCAAGCCACACAGGGTCTCCAAGTGGGTCTCAGGATGAAGTGGCCAAAGAGAAAACACCAGGATGGGTGGGAGTTTTGTGGTAGACAAGCTTTATTCAGAACCCCAGGGAAACAGCTAGAATCTGTGGCCTGAGCACTCAGGGAGCTGCTACCTGAGCCCCAGGAGGAGTCTGTTGTCTTGGGAAGGAGGACAAAGTGTCTCCAGTGAATTTTGGGTGGCTGGACTAGGGTACACGGCAGCTGGCTTCTTTCCTGTCTGGCCCTCCCACCAGCTCAGAGCCACTAGACATGTTGCTGGGCTCAGAAGAGGAAAGAACAGCTTGGAGTCCCCTCCCTGCTCCTGGGAGCATCATCCAGCTCCAAAAATAGCATAAAGACAACGGAGGCCAGAGGAGGGCTTTGTAGCTGAGGGGACACAGCCAAGCCAGCCAACCAAAAGCTGAACTTGATGAAGGGGGTAGCAGGGAGGCTGAGCCTGGAGGCTCCAAAGGTCAAGAGCCTGGCAGGCGAGAGATGACCCTCCGTATCTCACACTCAGGCAATACTTTCACAGGCTGCTTTCCAGCCTAATTCCTTCACAGAAAGAGATCAGAGTCAGCTTTCACGGGGAATGAAGAAAAAGCAACAGAAGGCAGAAAGACAACTAGTCTTGGGAGTAAACAAATAAATAAAAGACAGCTTTTGCACTGTGGCCTTAGTTTAAGTCACCCAAGCTCTCCAGTCCTTCAGTTGACTATAGAATAGGTAAGCTTCAAGTTCCAGGTTTGCATACTGTCACTGAGTTTTTAAGGATCACATTCTTAGCCTTTGTCCCCAACATTCAGCTGGGATCTTCTTAAATGTACAGCTGTTAGCCCATGGGGGGAGCTGAGGGACAGGACGGGGGTAGGAGGCAGTGGCACAGCCAACTTGATCCTCTCAGATTCCTGTTTTGCCCCAGAGAAGGAGGATTTGCCCTGTATGATAAGGGTCAGAGGAAGAATCCAGGAGGTCAGGTGGTTTCCCAGCTGTACTCTCCAAGGAATGTACTGGAAATTCCTTATACCCCAGGCAACCCTCTCCCAAATATTCCATCAGGGTGCTCAGGAGAAGCTAAAAAATCAGCCAAATGTTTCTCTACCACTCCCAAGCAGAGAGCAAGATCTGTCCCTGTGGGTGTGCTGGGGTGGGGTGGGACAAGTGTCACACCGGAAGGGACATGATGGGGCAGCTCGACCCAGGGTTAACCCTTAAATGCCAACACACTTGGCTCACTCCCACTAAAGGGTTAGCCCAGTATTCTGGTCCCCATAAGCATCCAGTGCTGCTCAGCCCTTGCTCTTCCCTGGAGAAGAGATGACTCCAGGTCAGGGAACCCCAGAGGAACCCACGCATCTGCTTGGAGAGGCCCCAGCAGGCCACCTGCCTCTGAACCTTTGAACTTTCTCAGTGTTTCCAGGACAGTGGCTGAGTTTCTGACATGAGAGCTGGGCCACCAGGGCTCATCCAACTAATATAGCCATGGTCTCACCCTACTCTCTGGGAGTTTAGAACCTGCCTAGAAAGGTTCGGGAGGCATTTAGCCTGGAGCCAAGGGGATGGACCAGAAGTCTGACCTATTGATCAGAGCTTCACAGTATTTAGGGCAGGTAGAGGCTCAGCAGTGCCCTAGGCTACTTCCCACATGAGGAAATTGAGGCCCAGGAGGGAAAGTGATCTCCCCAAGACTTCACAGTGATGCAGCATCTTTAATGGCAGATCCAAGCTCCCAATCCCATCTATTGATAAGGCAGGGTTGGCTGTGCTGGTTTTGGTTTCCAGTCCCAGTGCCACCTTCCCTGAATGTGGCCCCTCTAGGAGGGGCTGTGGACTTTGCTTAACCTGGTGTCCACTCAGTGAGCATGGGTAGATGCCAGGAAAAGGTAGCAAAGCCAAGAACCCTACATCCCCCCACCTACTCTGCTCTTCCCAAGAGTCTTGCCCAAGTCTTACCTCTGACCAGAGGCTGCCCACAGATCCTGGGAGTCTGCTCAGCCTCCGCAGGGACTGGCCGAGGGCAGGGGATGGAGAAGGCTTTAAGCAAGCATGTGGGCTGGGGCTTGTGAGCCAAGCCCTGCAGTAGGAGGAATGTGCAGCCCCAGACAGGGGGTGGGGAGGACACAATGGGGGGTGTTGGCTGCTATTTTGGCAGGTGCCAGGCACAAGGCTAAAGGAACATGTACCCCACGCCATATAAGCCCATGTGGTCCTCCAGCTGCTCAGATAAGCTATTTAAAACCAGAGCAGATATGCAGGGGACAGGCTTGTGACATAACCCAGCTGTCCCTCTTGAGAATCCTGATAAAGCAGATGCCAGAAACCAAGCCTGAGAGGGCAGGCCAGGAGCAGGGCTGGGGGCAGAAGGCAACCTCCAAGACCCTTCATGAGCCTCTGTGCCAGAGTGCTGGGGGGCAGAGGGTAAGCGCTCCATTGGAGACGATGCCACATCTCCAGGTTGCCAGAAGCTTCTAATAGGCCAAGCGGCCTGGGGCAGGATGCAGGCTCTGTGAGCCTCAGTGAGGGTGTCTGTAAAGAGGGTCTTCTTCATGACACCCAAGGTCATATACCAAGCCTTCCTCACAGAAGGACCCCAGAGGATCCCAGATACCAGTTAGACCAGCATTCCCCTTGGGCAGTCAAGTTATATGAGGGGGTCTTTAAAATCATCGTTAGTTATTATAACCTGCTAAACTACTACATCATAAGGTCCATAGGTCAGGGTCAGAATCTTTATTATTGGCTTACATGTGTGTCCAGGGGCCCAGTGCTAACACGGTCCCCTCCTGGCAGATCACAGGGCTCAGTGTATGATGAAAACAAAAAAGAGGACATGGAACTGAGCCGAATCCTCTACCCTCCCCATCCATCTCTCTAAACCTCCATGGCCTAGGTCTTGCTTGACTCTGAAGGACTGAGCCCCCTCTCTCCTGGGGCCCCCAATCCCTGAGCCCCTGACCCCTTCAGATCTGGCTCATTAGTGATCCATACTCATCTCTTGCTTTCCACAAAGAAAGCCAGCCTCACCCATTCTCTGCCCTCATCCCCTTGCCTGACCATTTGTCTAATCTTCTCAGAGCTCATTCTCCCTTAGTCCTGGCCTGCTGGGAATGACAGGACTACATCCATACTAACACCCATGAAAGGACCCTCCATATATAGGGCTCCCTTTGCTAACTAACATTCACGCTGCTAACATTCACACTGCTAGCAAACTCTTGCCCATTAATCTGCTAATATTGTCCCCTCCATGGTCTCCAGCAGCCTCTGAGTCCAATGGCCTTGATCCCCCAGCTCCAGGCTTATCCTGGGCCACATGGGCCTCCATGCTGCCAGCAGATCAGCAGCAGGGAAAGCTGACCCAACAGGCTTGGTGACCAGTACCCTGGGATAGAGGGAGGCCACAGGAAAGCAGAGGGGCCTGGCAGAGGGAGCAGACTCAGAGAGACAGTGAGGAAGGAGCCAGGCTGCGTGGAAAAAGAGCAGGGCAGCCTCCTCATCCCCATCTCCCATTCTATCTCTGCCTCGGGTCCTGGGCTGCAAACTCCTGAAACTTAAGAGTTGCTTTTCCTGACACCCCTTGATGTAAGTTACTTTCAGGGTCATTATTCCTAATTAACCCTAGTTAACAAATGATGGGGTCATCATTTGTTTGCATGGGTGCTAAAAGAGGAATCTGGGTGTCTGTCCCCATAGGGTCTCTTGGAAAACCCTGGAAAGTTCTTGGTGTCCATGTGTGAGGCAGAGGCTTCATCCAAAGAGCGTTAAGGCAACCACTTAAGCAGAAAAGCTAGTCACCATCAAGCAGACACACTTGTAGATAGCAGACTTGTCCCTGACCTCATTCAGATGCCCTGTCCTTACAAATCATCACCTTCCCATTCTCATGGTAGATGGAAAGAGAAAACAAAGCCAGAATGGTACAGGGAAAGAAGCACATGAAACAGTACACTGAGTACCCACAAGGAGAGCAGGGAGGTAGGTCAAGGCGAGTGATTAGATCTTGTCTACCTCCAGAGGGCGCCCAAGTGCTACCTCCTCCAAGATTCCTCCCTCACCATGTGCCACCCAGTCACCACTTGGCTACATTTTATCACCAGTTGAAGTCATTTTGTATGTGTTTATCAGCTGCCTCCCTGACTGAAGCATGGACGTAAAGGAGGATGAGCTAGGGTGGCAGTCGTGTCCCCAGCAGCCTGACTTCAATGTGCACCCCAGGGGGTGGGGTTTGGGCCCAATGGTGACACCACCCTGAGGCTACAGCTGCCAAATATCCCCTGAGGAAAGCTTCCATGAGCTGCTCCTAAGAAAAGCCTGTGTGGTGACAGTTTTGCTGGCTGATAAAGTTCACTTGCCAGGGGACTTCCCAAAGCTTTGAGCCTCAGCATTCCCAGCATTCCAAAGTCCTTTGAGGCCACCTGCATGAACCCTGAAGTTCCGAGAACGGAAATGCCTCAGGGTCACACCTAGAGTTCCCAGGAAGACCAGAGCAGTTGGGAGTCTGCTGAATCGTCAGTGGCACACAGCCCACCCTCTGTCCCAGCAGCTCTCAATCAATCTGCAACACTGGAGCTGGGAACTTGAAGAAGATGCAGCCCTGGCGGGGGGTGCAGTATGCCTTCAGGGCCCGCTACCCCAGCTCAGTGGGGGTAGGGGGCCAGCAGCAGGAGGCTCATAGATAGGAGCTGGGCAGACCAGGGGCACTGGAAACCAGCACACATGGGGCTTCATCAACCAGGATCTTAAAGACTGGGGCAAGGCTGGCTGTTTCTGCCCCACAAGCTTGGTGAGCTAGGGCCTGGTGCTGCCCTTAGAAGCCCTGGAATTTCCATAAGCAAGAAAAGGGGAGGGGGCAGTGCTCTGTACCTAGTCTCACTCCCGGCTAGTTCTGGGTAAAATCAGAGCAATTGGGAGTAAGAATTCTAAAGAAGCCATTTTTCTCACTACAGCCTTAACAGGTTTGCAGGGCACCAGATGGCCTTTCCCAGTCTGGTTAGTCCCGAATTCCCAGATGGCATGGTATCCTTCAAGCACACAGGGGGCCATGGTATTGAGGCAATGGAGTGTGGATGTGGGGAGAGGGTTGAGGGATACAGGCTCACCACTGTGCAATAGTTCTAGACTCCCAAGTCACCAGGCCAGGCCCACTGAGTGGCAATCCTGCCACCCCAGTCAAAATCCTCCTCCTCATCCCCTGCAGTTGGTTCCCATTGGAAAGCAAAGCCTCTAGGAAGGAATTCACCTGGAAAGAATCATTCATCACTTTTGCCTGAGAGTGAATTTATCAGATAATTCCTGAGAACAGGGTTTTCTGCAGGGGAGGTGAAGTGATTCCACGAAAAGGCACTGAGCTCCTGGGACAGTGGGCCAGGGAAGGGAGAGGAACACAAAGCAGAGATATGGGGAGATGGACCATGTCTGACAACTCCTTCCCAATCTGGCCTGAGGGCCTTAGCGGGGTGGGATTAGGCCCCAGGGACCAAGGGTGGTTAAGTCCAGACCTCGGTGCAGAGACATCACAGGCACATGGAGCACCTGCCAGAAGCAGATGACACAGATGGCCCTGGAGACAGTCCTGCCCTGACCCTGGATGTGAGTGGGAGAGAGAGGACACCGAGGCTCCACAGTGCTGATGTGCACCAGTGCTGTGTCCTGGGCTGCCGATGGGTCCAGTATCTATTGTGTCTGCAACAGGACAAGAAAGTACCAAGGCCTCTTCCCACTGTGCTCCAGAGACTGGGAAGGAGGTAGATGACAGTCACTGATATTCCTCGCCTCCAGGGGCCAGGCCAGAGAGATCCTGAGGCAGATAGGGAGTGGAGGCAGTGAGAAACAGGGATGCTGCTGTGAAGGCAGGGGCCTGGCAGAAGGTACGGCCCTTGGGAGGCAGATGTACAGGTTTGTCTTGGCAGAACTTGTCACACCTGTGAGGAAAGGTCAATTAGAACAAGGGAAACTGGTTCCTAGGCTGGAGGGAGTGGGGAGGAACCTCTGGACAGAAAGGCATTCCTTTGCCCAAGCCCCACACCTGCCTTGGGTCAATGACCCAAAATCACTGGTTGAAGAGGGTGGAGCTTTGCAGAGATATGGTTCAGCAAAACCAGTGGAGGGCTATCAGTGTGTTGGGGGCGGGGAAGGGTCAAGCCAATGAGAGACAGCATGCAGGGATGGGGGTTAATTCTGAGTGCTTAGCTTATGCAATTAATTGCAGGGCAATTAGTGTGTGCCCTGCAGCCTTCTGCCCCAGGGCCAAGCTTCTCAACTACTCACCTCGGCATCCAGTGAGGAGTCTGATTTCTTTCCCCATTGAGTCCTTTTGGTGGCTGCCAACTCTTTCCGTACCTCCTGAATGGGGACCCCAGGGTAGAGGCCAGAGACTAAGAAGGGGCTTGGGATCCCCCAGGTTCATCCCTGCTCAGGATGAAAGGTAAAAGGACCCCAGACCCACTCCTCTTCTCTGCTACCTTCTGGCCCACAGGCCATCCACGGCAACCATCTGTCCTTATCACCCTCACTTCTAAAACAACCCACTGCTCTTGGGCTGTCCCTCCTCTGACCTGATCATCCTACAATGAAAGGGTCCCTGTAAGAGACACCAGGGGGACAGGGTACCTGGGGGCCCTGCTCTCCAGACTCCTGGGTTCTGCTGATCCACAGGTTCAGCCTTGATGTCACAACTCCAGACAGCCTCAAGTTCTCCTAGAAAGAAAGGCTCCATCTCAGGGTTTGGGACCCTTCGAGACAGGCAGGCTTCCTTAAAGGCCCTGGATCAGGGACATGACACTCTCCACCCTCACATCCATTCAGCACATGTTGTGTGTACCTAGGACAGCCCCCACCACAGGGAGCTTTGCTCCCAGCTAAGCAGACGAGCTCAGGAACATGAACGCTCAGGCAAGGTTCTGCCAACACTGACATGTGAAAGTACAGAACTTCTAACACTGCCAGGGCCTAGCTTCAGGCTTTGGAGACTTCAGAACTCATTAGTCTAGAGACCCTCAGCTTAGCTTCACTCCTCACCTTCCGGCCGGAGGCTACTTCTGTGCGGTTCTGGCCTGCCATTTCCTTCTCAAAGAGGTGGCGCTTGCTGGCTACACCTGCAGGAGCCACAAAGAACTCTGTGCGGGGGGAGCCTGAAGACCTCATGGACTCTGATCTCTGGAAATAGAAACACAGTTGCTGAGCCATGGCTGTAAGGTGCATGGGCCACACCAGCCACACTGGTCAGGGACACACACCCCCCTCTGGAAAAGCACCCCCCACACACACCTGTATGGCTGTATGGTATTGCTCCAGCTTCTCTCCTATCTTAGCCGTGTTGGGTGGCAGCCTCACACTGGCACTGCGGGACGGGAAGACAGGATGAAAGAAACCAGGTGAGATACCCTCCTCGAGGAGGCCAGGCCTGCCCCTAGGGCCTGAGGATAGTGCTCCCCCACTCCCCCCCACACATGCACACATTACGTCAAAGTAGACTGCAATGACTTGGCCAAGATGAAGACTCCAGACTGCAGTGATTTTCCTCTCTCAAGAAACAGCCCATTCAATAGGACATCCCAGGATTAGAAGTGTCTCCCATTCCTTCCTTCCTCCTCTCGCAACCTGTCCCTTCCACCAAAAACATCTCTTGAACCTAGCCTTTCCTCTCTAATTTCCCCTTTACTGAAGTGACCTGCCACCCTGAGCGCTCTTCCTCACTGCCACCAGATCACTCCTACCTCAAACAGATCTCATCCCGTTTGTCTAGCTCAAACCCCCAGGGCCACAGCACAGGGACCAAACCCCTACCAGGTCACACAAAGTTTGCATGACCTGGTCCCTGCTTTTCCCCTTTAGTACTGGCACGGCCCCTCCCTGCCATGTGCCATATGCCAGCCAACTGGGCATCCATGCTTTTCACACCGTGCCTTTCCATGTACTAGTCACTATTTAAAATGTCATTCTTTAACTATGGCTGTGGCTCAGTGGCAAAGCACTTGCCTAAGCATGCCCAAGGCCCTGGGTTCAATCCCCAAGCACGGCAAAAACTAAATAATAAAATGCTGCTCTTCCAATTGTCCATCCAGAAATCTCTCAGTACTTCTTCCAGTCCACGCTGGATATCAATTGCTGTGTGACAGACACCTTCCCAGCTCTCACAGACTGAGCTGTGGTGGCAACTACCACCCTCCCAGTCCTTGGATCACATTCCTATCCCTGCACCTCCCTGGCTTGGATCACATTCCTATCCCTGCACCTCCCTGGCTGTGTTTAATGGTCTCGTGTGAGTTGCTTGAGGGCAGCCACTGTGTCTTATCTTTGTTCTCCTCTTCCTCCTCCATCCCTGCCCCAAGCCCCAGGCCTAGCTGAGAATAGGAGGCCTTGGTATAGCCTGAGGACAAGTGAATCTAGCACAGGTGGGTAGAACTCCTAACACAAGCACAACTGATTTTCAGCCCCTATGTACAGTCTTCAGACCACTTGCATCTGCATCACCGAGCATGGGGGGAGGGGTTTGGATGCTTAAACGTGCAGACTGCCAGGCCTCCACCTCAGTCCTGCCAAACAGAAGCTTCCCTTTCTTTGCACTGTTCATAGTCTCCCATGCAGAAAGTCATCCTCCCTCTTCCCACCTCTCACCCCAAGAGTACAGCCTCTTCCCCTTCAAAGCTCCACCTCCTCCCAGCAGCTCTCCTTGATACCCTCCCTCCCCGTTCCATTTCACAAATTTCAATGCCTCCTGTTCATTGTAGGCCCCTGCCAGGTCTGGAGCTGTAGGCAAGAGCTGCACCTTCTCCTCATGTGCCCTGTGGCCCAGCCTGGCACAAAGAGGACAGGTGACAGGTACTCAAAAAACCTAGCACCAGACAAGACAGAGCCAAAGCCTCCAGGCTTCCCACCTGCGGGTTAAGGTTGTTTCTGAGTTGTCTTTCCTGGAGCTCATCTGAAACAGGAAGACAATTGTTGGTGAGTGGGAACCCCAGAAAAGTCCACGGCCTCCCTTCAGTCAGAGGCCCAGCTCTCGGGACCCTTCCTCCTCCTCAGATATGCCACCACCAAAGAAATATGTGGCCAGCCTTCATTACAGGCTCTCATCTTATCTGGGAAGCACCTGCCTCCACCCACCAATATAACTCTCAGGCCTTTTTCTCTGCATCCACCAGCCTCGCCTGGGTACTTGTTACCACCTGGTTTCCTACCTGCCCTCTCTCCCCCACTGAGCAAGAGTCCCGTGGACACCAGTCAGCCTCAGGCCTCGGGCCCCTCCGAGGGGCCTGGCAGGCTTAGGATACAAAGCACAGTCAAGCAATGAGTTAGTGGATGCCCAGAGAAAAAAAGAAAAATAAACACTGGGACAAAGCCCAGACGAAATTCCCCAGTCTCACCAACTGCACTACTGGGACAGGGCAGAGAGCACTAGGAGAGATCTGCTGCTCTCTGCCCCTTCCTCCCCAGCCCCTGAAAGCCTCTGGGTGAGGACAGGGACTAATGAAGACAGGTGCCAGGCTTCCACTGCCCACCTTCCTGTAGCTCCAATCTTCTCCACTAGGTGGGGCTGCTCACACTTATTCACACCTACCTTCTAGATCATTGATCAGCTCTCCTTTATTTAATACGATCTTGTCTGGTTTGGGCCACCCATGGGAATACAAAGCCCCTCTCTATCCAGAGGGTCTTCCTAAAGTCTAACCCAAGCCTCCTATGTTTAATGGGAGCTGGGTTCCTTTGCCTGCTCTCCAGTGGCTTAGAGATGAGGGTTCCTTGGTTCTCACCCGAAAGGAGATAGTTCTGGGGCTGGAGCGTCTGAGGGAGCTGCTGTAGGTGAGTTGGGTGGGCGAAGATATGTCTGCTTCTTCCTCCTTGCTGGGGATTTTCACCTGAATGGAGCAGGGGATGTGTCACATAAGAACGTGCCTTCTGAGATAGAGACCTAGGGCCCTCCCAGGCCCAGGCAGTCCCAGACCCCAAATCATCATGGGGCCTGCTTCATTTCAAGAACTTCAGAAGGAAGGGGGAAGTGAGACAGCCTTGTGTCATACTCTCCTGCTTCCCACTGTGGGGCAGCTGGCATTGTCCCATTTGGCCAGGCTATCAGGCAGCACTTTCTGCTTCTGTAAGGATCTGAGGCCTCCATAGATTTTGCTGAGGTCCTGGATGAGGATATGGTATAGGGTCCCAGGTGCTCTCTACACACTGCTGGTGCCCCTTTCAGCTCCAGGAGCCTGCCTCTGCCTCAGTTGCCCTATTCTGACAGTGACAAAAAAAGAAACCACTAAAGCTACCCTGAAGGGAAGAAGACAGGAGGCAGCCTGGGAGTGGGAAGCCACCAGGCAGAACCAGCAGCAAGGCCAGCCAGAGAGGAAGAAAAGTGAGGGACAAGGGCACTGCCAACCTGTAGTGTGATGGGAGGGAGGTGGGAAGCCACAGTCGGAGGGTCCGGGCCCACTGAGGAAGATGGGCTCTTCCCAGGGAAGGCCCTTCCTCTGGGCTCCTTGGTGATGTCCTGGCTTCTCACAGGAGCCTGGTGCTGCTCTGTGGCTGCTGCCTTCTTGGTGGCCAGCTTTGTCTCTGAGACTGGTAACTTTTCAAAGATAGATGCTTTCTCAGACACCATCCTCCTCTCTGGCATTTTCTCGGAGACATTGGCTTTTTCTAGAGCTGACTTCTTTTCTAACATGGACCTCTTCTCTGACACCGCTGTCTTCTGGGACACAGATGTCTTCTCAGGGGCCGGCAACTTCTCTGAGACACTTTGTTTTTCTGGAATCAGCTTCCCTGGGCTGCCTCTCTTCTCTGAGGCAGCCGTCTTCTCCAACGGGGATGCTTTCTCTGCTGTTGGCCCCTTCTCGGAAGTAGAAGCCATCTCTGAGGCCAGTTTCTTGGCTGGCACTGCCGTCTTCTCTACCACAGGGGATTTCTCAGAAACCAAGGTCTTCTCTGGAAGGCCCTTCTTCCCGGCTCCTGACTCCTGGCCTTCCAAACACTCTCCCTCCTGGGCCCAGGGGCCCCGCTGCTCCCTGCTCAGTCTCCGGCGAGGCAGGGGCTCCAGGTCCTTCTTGGGCACAAGTGGCTGTTGCATGGCCTGCTCGGGGGCCAAGCTGTCTTCTCCCTCCTCTGCTTCCGGCCTCTCCTGGACAGCCTCCACCACCTGCCGCCTCTGCCTCCGCTCATGCTGTGTCCTGAGAATGGTCTGGATGTCCTCGACCTCATCTTTGAAGACTGAGGGTGGTGGCTTGGCCACCTCTGCTTCCTCCACATTGGGCAGCCTGAGTCAGATGGGAGATAAGAGTCAGTAGATATCAGAAGTGAGAGGGACCCTAGGTGTACCTGGCCCATCAGTGATGCCTCCAAGGCCACCAAGGAGGGACAAGAAATCAGGCCCTGGCCTCTCTTCCTCCATTTAAATAAGGATCACTTTTATCTGTTCTACATATTGGGCTTCCCAGGTGACATCTGAACAAAGCACTCCATGCTTTAAAAAATGTTATGAGGGCTGGTGGAGTAGCTCAAGTGGTAGAGTGCCTGCCTAGCAAGCACAGGGTCCCAAGTTCAAACCTCAATACCACCAAAAAAAAAAGTTATGGATTCCTGTAGGTCCAATCATTCATTTTCAGACACAATCAGCAAATGCTGATTGAACAACTGCTTTCCAGGTGCCTGGCCCTGTGCTGGGCATTGGGGATCAAAAGGAGAAAATGTGATCCCTGCCCCTTAGAGCTTAGCTTGAGAGTAGAGGTGTTCAAGATTTGTGAATGGTCACACAAATAACTGTGGGGAGCTGGGAGCAGATCCCAAGGCTTCTGACCAACCATCCCACACTCCTGTCCATCACGTGGGTGTGGCTGAGAATAGGTGGCAGCCAGAAATTTGGGTCAACCCAAGGTACACACCCTGGTCTCCCTTCTCTGGAGGATAGAAAGGAACAACCCAGAGCACCTGGTCTCCAGCTAAAGGAAATTCTTTTCCTTCTACCACCTGTTCTCCATGTGATTTCATGCTAGTCAGTGGCCTGTATGAGCCTCAGTTTTCAGATCTGCAAACTGGGTTTGTGAGGCAGTGAAAGGAGACTCATCCCATAAGACAAAGTCCTGGCATGTAAGTGGTATTCAGTAAACTCCGGGTGTTTTCTTGCTTTCCCTCATCAGCCCCAGTGTTTCTCCCCTCAGAAGTAGATTATAGAGGGTTGGGAGAGAGAGACACGGCTTGACTTAAAACAGTGGAGCCACAGAGACTGACAAATCTGAATGCTACTCTCTAGCTATATGATCCCACAAATCACCACGTACCTTTCGACCCAGTTTCTGCCATTGTAAAACTGGTTAACACCACCTGTCCCTCAGGGTTATGGTGAGGATGAAGTGAGCTACTCTATAAAGTGCCCAACAAAGTATGTGCTCATGGATGTTCTCAGCAAACACAGGGTGCAGCCCAGCAGGACTGAGCAAAGGTCTGGAGAAGCTGAGGCCTCATTCCCTGGGCCTCAACTGTGCTGTGTGTAGTCTGCTTAGGGTGGCTAAGTCCATCTCTATCACCCAGGATGGGGAAAAGATGCCCAGGCCCTAACCCAAGTACCTCTCCACAGCCCGCTGGTCTCCATTCTGGGTGAGCCTGGGAGACTCATCGTCAGTGGTAGAACTCAGGTTGCGGTGCCGCCGCCTGCGTTCACGCTCCTGTTCCTCCTCATCCTCCAGAGTCCGCTGCCGGGCCAGGCTGGGGTGGGACAGAGACAAGGATCAACGTAGCCCCAGGGCACCTGGGCAACCTTCCTACCTTCCCAAGTCAGACTTCCATGGGCTAGAAGACAAAATGCCCTCTAGGCACTGGAGGTCACAGAGCACTAGCAAGGCTGTAAATGTAAAATACACACTGGATTTCAAAGACACAGGATGAAAAACAAAACGTAAAATCTCTCCTTACGTAACTGAGCATGGTAGCCCATGCCTATAGTTCCAGCTACCTAGGAGGCTAAAGCTGGAGGACTACCTGAGTCTAGGAGTTTGAGCCTAATGTGGGAAATGTACAAAGACCCCATGTCCAAAAAAAAAAAGTGTACATCAATTCTGTGCTGAAATGTTTAGATATATTGGGGTAAATGTTTCCTTTTATTTTTTCACATGATTTCTAGAAAATTTAAATTGTTCAACGTAGTTATTATTTATCTATTAAATTTCTATGAAAGCTTCAGGGATATGGTTTAGGACCAGATAATTCTGTGCTCAGGGCTATCCTGGGTTGTAGATATTTAGTGGCATCCTTAACTGCCAGTAGCAATACCCCCCAGTCATGACAAAAATGTTTTCCACCATTGTCAAAAGTCCCCTGGGGGCCAAATCACCACAGATGAGAACCACTGTGTTGGACATCACTCTGGACTCCAGGGTGGGAACGCGCCTCCCTCTCTAGGGTATCTAGGAATGCAGAAAATCAAGCATAGTTCTGCCTGAAGGAAGAAAGTGAACTTGACAAGTCCCTTTCACTTTTTCGTCCTGGGATTCTTAGATAATATCCCTTAATGGCTATTATCTCAGAGTTACTCAATTCCCTACAGGAATTCTTTGGTGGGGTAGGAGTAGATGCGCAAGCAAGGCCACTTTCACCTGGAGAGTACTCCAATACACCTTCGGTTCCCAGGAGCTCTTTCAGCCTCCTCCACCTTGTAGAGTTAATTTTCACTTGTCCACAGAAGCAAGGAGACGCCACATACCTTACATTTGTTTCCTGCTCCAGTTACCTTTCACTCGTGGAACCAACCAGGCACTCTCACAGTCAGCCAACCAACACTACTAACCCAGCCAGCCAGCCAGCCAGCCAGTCAGTCACTTGTCAATCCAGATACCCATTTACCCAGTCACCTGCCCTGCCATGCACTCACTCCCATCCCCACCAGCCCATCTTCCCTTCCAGCCACCCACCCTTCCAATCCAACTACAGAACAAATAAACGCTTTCTAAGAAACTGTGATGGGCCGTACCATGTCAGGAACTGGGGAGGTCACACACCACCACAGCAGGGTTTGCTCTGGAGATACCTATAATCTGTGGTCCAGAGGCATATCCAACAACTCCCAACCAAAGTCCAGAAATTGCTCTGCAGAGTGAGAGAATGATTCCTATAGGCCAACATTAACAGGACAGGCTCACAGAAGAGACTGAACCTAGACTGGATCTCAATGGGTGAACAGGGTAATGGGGATTGGAGAGAAGCAGCAGAAGGGAGGCAGCGAGGAAGCCAAGGAGGTCAAAGGTATGGGCTTTCCTGGGGGTAGGACGCTGTACTTCGCCCCAAGAGGCAGGAGGGTAGGAACAGGGAAGCAGCAAGTTATGATGGTCAGCTGGGCCAAGACTTCCCAGCACTTCCCCGTGACCCCCCCACCACTCAGCGCTCTCTAAGGCCCAGATCAGAAGGCTCTGGAAAAGGCCTCCATCTTCCTGCCCAGAGCAACAGCAATGACCGTGAGGCTTCCCCTGGGCACTATCAGGCACCCAATCCTCGGCTCTCTTTTTTGCTCTCGGCTTCTCTCCTCCTGAAGGGTACCATTGGGCAACCATGCCTTAATTTGAGGAGGAGACAGGTTTCTGAGAAAACAAAAACCATGGAAACTTACAAACTTTCCACTGAATTACATCTAAAATGCATCCATAGCCCCTGAAGAAGCGATCTGGTCTCTAGTCCTCCTTCCTGCCCTTGGACAAATCACTTCCTTTTTTGTTTTTGTTTTTTTGAGACAGGATCAATCATGTAGCCCAGGCTGGCATCAAACTCATAACTCTCCTGCCTCAGCTGCTGAGTGATGGGATTATAGTCATGCACCAGCACGCCCCGCTGTTGCTTCCTTTTCTCTTCCTTAGTTTTTCTCCTAAAATGAGGAGAATGAAACACACAATGGCTCTAAGTTTTTTTCTAGGTCCAGCAGCACATCTATAGAGCCAACATTTACTAATATTTTTTGAGTAACTCCAGGCCAGGCATGATTTTGGGAGCTGGAATACAGGAACAAAGCAACCACCAGCTTTTTCTCTCCCACGCTTCATGGAGCATGTGGAAGACAGGGGCAGACAAGAAGCAAGGAAACAAGCCCAGGAACAAAAGGACATCAGCTAGGTGTCCAGAGGACAATGGGTCAAGGTAAATGATGTGAGAGAAGGTGCCTGAGTGAAGACCTCTCTGAGACACCTGACTAATGTGAAGAAGACTACAGAGCCATATCTGGTGGCGGAGGTTTCCCAGGTTGGGGTGCAGCAGGGCAGAGCCCTGGTGTGAGAAGCTGAGTGTTCAGGGACTGTCCCACAGGAGAGCTGGGCAAGGAAGACAAGGACTTGGAGACCTCTAGAATCCAGCAGGATGACCGGCACACAACAGGTGCCAACAAATATGGAAGAACAAGTGTAAATGTCAACTCTCAGGCCTGCAGGACTCTCCTCTCTGGGAATGACCAAACCTCTGCCAAGAAGAGTTCAAATTAGGGAGCAACCCTGAGTCTCTAGTAGAAAGGGAAGTGCTAACTCCTTACCCTATAGGAAAGGGGCTGCCTTGGAAAAGAATCTTATAGAACATCCCAATTCTGCCATCAGGGCAGCTATTCACACCTCTACTCCTCCTCAGTGCAGATGGAGAAGGGCCCTGGCCAAAGTTTTCCAAGGCCTTGACTATGGAACTAAGATTCCCCTGGGCCTTTGAAGAAGCCCTGTATTAATCAACAGATCCTGCATTGATTCATTACACACAGATTCATGGTCTCTTATGAGTCAGTCTCTGACATCCCACCTCTCCTCAGCTTCTCCAGACAGAAACACCAATTTCTGATGGCTTTCATCTGAGGATGTCTCTTTCTTCAACTCTCTCCTTCTGTAAATGCAACACTGTCCCTAGTCTGGGAAGAACTCTTGCTCTCCAAAGACTGGTCCATGTTCTGAGGAAAGCAGCCAAAAAAAAATCAAAAAGTTCCTCTCCCCTGACCACACCCACAGTGGGGCTGGGCTAGAGCCTCCAGGATTCCTTGGTTCTGAGCAACCCAGTTCCCACACGCTGCTCTCAGCCCTCAGGGAAGCTGCGTGTTTGTTTATCCTCTAGTGGGGCCCTATATGGTGTGTGATCAGCCTGAGCCTAGTCTCCTCAGAAATGACTCACTCCCCAGGCTGGGCCAGGGCTGGCTGAAGAACATGGGGCCCAGGTGTCCTTGAGTGTTCCCAAGTTTGACACCAATCCCACCTCCCATCTGAGGTCAAATGGGCACCACCATTGCCCCTCAGCAATCATGCCACTGCCTTCAACTGCTGACACCTGGCAAAACCACCTCCCTTCACCACCACCACCACCTCACCCAAGGGGAGGAATGTTATCTCTAATAAGCCAAGATTATTGGCCTCTAAAGATGAGGAAATACCCAGAAATGAAAGGAAGGGCAAAGGTTAGTCCCCAGGGGGAAACCTCAACAGGTGCAATTGCTGAAACCCCAATAATAAATAAACGAAGGCTTGGAACAGTGCTTAACATCTGAATGTGAAAAATCAATTAATAAAATAGAAATGAGAACACTAGTATATAAGTGCTTACTGCAGTATTTTACAAATATTGTTGATGTTAATCCTTACAACCCCATCAGGTAAGGTGGTATTATCCCCATTTTGCATTTGGGGAACCTGAGGCTCAGGGAGGTTAATAACTTTCTAAAGAAAGCACAGCTAATAAAAAGAAGGAATCAAGACACCAAGCTAAGGGAGGGGGTGGGGAAAGGGGGGAGAAATGACCCAAACATTGTATGCACATATGAATAAAATAAAAATTAAAAAAAAAAAAAAAGACACCAAACTAAGCCAGCCTCTCAAAACCTCATGCCCTTAACCAGGATACCAACTGCCAGAAAAGGATGCTGGAGGGCTGGTCCTAAACCAGAGGAGGCCCCACCTTCAAAAAATACCAACAGGGAGAGGAACAAAGGAACCCCAGGAGGGCCTCTGACTGCTAGATTCCCTAACCAGGACAGCCTGAGCTCAGGTACAAGTTGGGAGAGCAGAGGTTTGGGAAAACCCAGGGAACTTTGATCCCCTGAGCCACTGGGTGGAGCCTGCAGGCTCCAACATTTGGGGGGGCCTAGTCACTCTCACCAGCTGGTGCCACAGCTCACCACTCCTGCCTCTCCTGCACCTCTTGGCCTTCACCAGGGACAGGTTGTCCTCTGCCACCATGGAAGGCTACTACTCTTCTCCACTCCTGATTTCACCAACTCCATCCTTTAAGGACGGGATTCTCTTCCTCTTAAATAGTTCTAAAGATATTGTGTCCTATTGCTCAGTGGAGTGCTTGCTTTACCCTCTCCCCTGGGCTCTAATTTGCATCTATTCTACAGTAAGTGAGAGCAGAGGCTTAAGTGTGAAGGTTGTTAAATGTTTGTTTAGCAATAGAACTTATTTTCTCCAATTGAATCAAATTCAGAAGCCCATTCTACAGCAGATCAAGGCTCAGCTGCTCAGGCTAGAGCAGGCAGAAGGTAGGAAGGCTGCACTAGCAGCATCTATGGGCAGGAGATGTGGAAGGGAAGAACATGACCCAGGCATGGTCAACCTTGGGCCAATCTCCAGCCTCTGAGCAGGCAAACCTCAGGCGCCCCATATACTGAGGGGTCACACTGGGTGGTCTGATGTCCCTTCTGGCCCAGATGGTCTAGGGAGAGGTATCAGGAGAACCCAGGGAAGCTCTTGGAGGTGGGAGGGCTGCTTAAGGCAAGGCAGGGAAATGATTAACTGGTGGCAGGGCTCTCAGATCCACCCCTCACCCCCTGCAGACAGGCCTGGCCTGGCCTTACCGGTAACCAGGTCAATCCAGGGAGGAAAGGACAAAGCTGCTGAACAGGGGAGCTAGCCAGGCAGCTCACCACAAGGCTGGAGCATCTGAATTTCTACTTACTGCCAACACAGGTTGCAGGCTAGCCCTCAACTCCTCCTCCGCATCTGGGCCCTGGCTAGGGCACTGGTCACACCCTCACCACCGTCCTCCCCAGCCTGGGAGGCTCGGTTGACAGTGACTCACAGCCCTTTCCTGCAGCCCGCTGAGGCTTGTTGCTCACTCAGGGAGCAGAGCAGGAGTGGTCCTCTGTTCCAGGCACCTCATCAGGGTGATTGTTGGCAGCAGCTGCATCTGCCCACAGGCCTGTGAAAGCTGGGCAGGGAGGCCAGGCCAGGGGCTCTCAGTGGCAGGACTGGTTCCTCAGGGCTTTCCTACCACTTAGCCTGGACATCCCATGGGAATTTGGCCCCACCCCTGCAGCTACAGGAGTCCATCTGAGCAATGGACGTCATTCTCATTTTTTAAAGTTCCAGTGCCCTGACCACCCCTACACACACACACACACACACACACACCCTATACAAATCCAGGCATGTTCTCAGACACAAACTCACATATATCCCACTAGACTGGATGCTTCTGAGAAAGTAGTGTCTGGTTTGTATTTTTAAAGTACTAAGGTCTTCAGTAAACATTTAAGCTGAACATACTCGGACTTGCAAACTCCATACTCAGCAACACAAGAACCTGTTGCCCACACAGACATCTCACACTACACAGGCCATAAACATGCTCGCCCACACAGCTGGATGCACACGCACATCTAAGCCTGCGTTCACAGGCACAGATACACCCACACCTAGAAGCAAAGACACTCCCACACCAACCCCACTCACAATGACCCACATAGAGTCCAAGGACTTGATCCCTAACCCCACCCTCAGCACAGACCTTCCCTGGGGTGTGTCCAACCTCTAAGGCAGCCTGGGTTCCTTTTCCAGAGCACTGGGCTCTTCCCATTCTTGGGGCTCACCATTTCCCCTCTATATGCCCTCTGGTCCTCTCTCCACTGGGATGACCAGGCAACTGTGCTTCGGAGCAGTACGAGATTCTGAGGGTCTAGTGAGGTGGCCCCAGCCCAGGAGGATGAGGTACTGTGGGGAGGTTGAGTCTGAGACACTAGAGAGGCTCTGGATCCCTTCAGGGAGGAGGGGGAAGAAGATCCTAAATGCTGACAAAGGTGCTAAAGATGCCTTGATGAGGAAGGTCTGTGGTACCCACGATCCTGAGAGAGGCTGGCTGCACCTGCAAGAGATAGCTTTGACCCAGGAAAGGCCTGAAGACCCAAACGTCCACCTGGAAAGAGCCAAGAAAGAACTAGAGTCTCAGGGATCAAAGAAACAGGTTTCCAACGCCAGGTTACTCCACAAGCCTCCATTTCCTTAGGACAAGTTGGGGAGGGGACAGTGGGAAGATGAGGAGGTGAAGAACTCATTCCTGCACTTCTGGGGGTGGGGAGCAGCTCCAAGGGAGGCATCAACCACAAGGAGTGGGGCTGCCTCCTGGACACTGACCCTTCCCAGGCTTCTCTGACCCTAACAGGCAGTCCAACAGGCAAGGATTGCACACCCAGTGCCCTATCCCTTTGGAGGCCAGGTCACAGTGCAGCAACTATGGTGCCACCCTAAAGTGCCAGACTCAGAATTTGATCCTCCATGGAGGGGAAAAAGAATCTGTTTTCCTCTGATCCTATTCACAGATCCCGGTTCTGCAGGGGGCATAAGAGCCCCTATTCCCACTCCCAGGAGGCTTGAGGGACACCTCGCAGGAGCCCACTGACTACCAGAGATACAGGGCAGGGATAGCTTCTCTCAGGAAAGAGGCTTGGGGGTAACTCCTGAACCTTCTTAGCGCCCCCAAAACGTACCTTTTTCCCCACAAGGGGTCCCACCTGGGGTTGGGGGGTGCTGTCAAAGTTGGGAACCAATCTTCCCCAAGCACCCTGCTTGGGACCTCAGGCCCCAAGGTGAGGGCAGGAAGCTGCTACGAAGGAGGGAAAAAAACTCATTCTGTGTCACCTGAGGAGTCCCAAGTCTGACCCCAATTGTGAGCAGCATTAAGGCCAGGGTCCAGCCTTGTGCCAGGATCCCTGTGGGGAGAAGGTGCACCGCTCACCCCAGCGCCGGCCCGGCCCCGGCTCCCCGCGGGCGGGCAGCTGCGCTCACCTGGACAGCGCAGACCAGTCCTTTCTGCTGACAGACATGCTGCTGAGCCCCGGTGGCCGCCGCGTGCGTAGTGCTCTGCGCCCGCAGCCCTGGCCGCCGCCGCCTCACCTGCGGCCCCTCCCCCGTGCGCCCAGGTACGATCACATGGCCGCTTATCTCAGCCCCGCGCGCTCCCCGCGCCGCCGTGCTCCGATCTGCCGCCCCGGGAGCGGTCTCTGGGGTGTGGGCGTCCCAGACAAAGCCGCATTGATCCCCGCCCGGGCCGGTCTGGCCGCGCGGCCGCGAGCGCAGGGTGGACGGTCGC